CGCTGGTTTCAGCACTCTAAGGGGAGCGGCGGGGGGGTATTTCACTCGGCCCCTTTCGCGGGATTTTGTGGGGATGTCTCAGCGGTTTGGCCATTTTCTCTTCCAACATGTTTCGCTTTCGGAGCAGATTTGGAGGATGTCTCAGGCGATTCGCTGGTTTCAGCACTCTAAGGGGAGCGGCGGGGGGGTATTTCACTCGGCCCCTTTCGCGGGATGTTGTGGGGATGTCTCAGGCGGTTTGGCCATTTTCTCTTCCAACATGTTTCGCTTTCGGAGCAGATTTGGAGGACGTTCGCGCCCAGTTTGCGGGGATGTCTCAGGCGGTTTGGCCGTTATGATGCTGGGCATCTGTCGTTTTCGGAGCAGTTTTGGGAGGATGTCTCAGGCGATTTGCTGGTTTCAGCACTCCCAAGGAGGAGGAGGAGGAGAGGAGGAGGAGGAGGAGGAGGAGGAGGAGGAAGAGGAGAGGAAGAGGAAGGAGGAGAGGAGGAGGAGAAGGAGGAAACGAGGAGGAGGAGGAGGACGAGAGGAGAGGAGGAGGAGGACAGCATGAACACGGTAGGAGCAGAAGCAGGAAGGGGAGGATGATGATGATGATGATGATGATGATGAGGAGGAGGAGGAGGAGGAGGAGGAGGAGGACGTGGGCAACTCGAGTAGCCAGGGCCAGACGATCGAGGTTCGATGTTCCAAGCTTTAGGTTTTACTCAAACGCTTCCGCCTCACTCTCCTTCGCTCTCCGCTCTCCTTCACTCTTCTGCATTCATACTCACTCATACTCAGACTCAGTCACACGCAGGCTCACTCGCACTTAGACTCGCTCATATCCATACTTTAAACTTACTCACACTCAGACTCACGCTCAGAACCACTCATACTCAGACTCGCTCCTGCTCAGACTCATCATCCTTCGGTCCGCTCAAACGCAGACCGACTCACACTCAGACTGCCTCACATCCATACCCAATCACACTCGGCTCACTCGCACTCAGATTCATTAACACACACTTTTTCTCACACTCAGACCCACTCAAGCCCAGACTCACTCATGCTCAGACTCATCATGCTACGATCCGCTCAATCACAGACTGACTCACACTCAGATTCGTCCATACTCAGACCCACTCGCACACAGACGCACTCGCGCTCATATTTACTCACACGCATACCCACTCAAACCCAGGCTCAATCGCACCCAGATTAACTCACACTCAGAATCAGTCGCTCTCAGATTTGCGATTGGTCGCACTCATGCTTGCAGACTGTGGGGATGTCTCGAGCGAGCGGTTCGCCCTCGCACACAGGCGCTCATTTACAGATTTCAATAGAAAGACGTACCAAGAGAATGAGATGCACATATGGGGAGCCACGCGTCGAGTAATTATTTTTCCCGGAAAGGGCGTGGGCCCGGGGTTCTTTTTTAGCTGTTTACCCTCGGAGATGGGCCGGTGAATTCTTTCGCGATAAATAACGAGGTCGCGAAGGGCCGGCGAATTAAAATTTGAGGATGTCTCGAGCGAAACGCTTGTTTTTCAGAATGTGTTGAGGATGTCTCGAACGAAACGCTTGTTTTGTGTTATAGATTGTCCTCTCCTGGGGACTTGAATTCTGAGGATCTCTCAAGTGGATTGCTTGTTTTCACGTGCCCAGGTCTTGAGGATGTCTCGAGCGAGACCTTTGGTTTCACGCCTCCAGGTGGCCCAGACAGATGTCTAGCATGAGGATTCGTTCAGGATGTCTCGAACCAGAGGCTTGTTTTCACGTGTCCACGTCGCCCAGGCGGATGTCTAGCATGAGGATGTGTCGAAGAAGTTTCGATCGAGACGCTTGTTTGCACGTGTCCAGGTTGCCCAGGCGGATGCCTAGCATGAGGATGTGTTGAAAATGTCTCGAGGGATACGCTTGTTTTCACGTGTCCAGGTCGCCCAGGCGGATGTCTAACATGAAGATGTGTTGAGGATGTTTCGAGCGAGACGTTTGCTTTCACGTGCACAGGTCGCCAAGGCGGATGTCTAGAATGAGGAGGTGTTGAAAACGTCTCGAGCGAAACGCTTGTTTTCACGTGCCCAGGTCACCCAGGTGGACGTATCACATGAAGATGTGTTGAGGATGTCTCGAGCGAACTACTTGTTTTCACGTGTCCAGTTCGCCCAGGCTGATGTCTAGCATGAGAAGGTGTTGAGGATGTGTTGAGCGAAACGTTTGTCTTCACGTGTCCAGGTCGCTCAGGCGGATGTCTAGAATGAGGATTTTGACAGGATGTCTCGAGCGAAACGCTTGTCCCCAGCACGTTCCGTAGCGCGTCCCTTTGGCACGTCCCGCGGTGCGTCCCCATGGCACGTCCCCTGGCATGTCGCCTGGCGCCTCCCTTGAGACGTTCCGCGGCGCGTCCTCCTGGCATGTCCCCCTGTCAATTAGCTCTGCGGCAGATTTTATGTGTTCACACAGCTCGAGCTTAAGATCCAGATCAGTTCGGTCAGCTCGATCCACGACGCTATAGAGCACAACCGCGGCATGGCACATCGCAGTTCAGCACGGTGCAGCACAGCACAGACTTCGGCACGGTACATCAAGATCGACACGATCAGCATTGCACTTGCCCGTCACCCAATCAGGTGTCTTTGAAAACGTTGCCATGCGTTACATTTCGATATTCCTTTCCGGATTCGTGGGTCGATCATGTTTTCGTCCAAAATCCCCCTGTTGGGGGACAGGCCCGACTTAAGATTCGAGGGAAGAAGCGGCCTGTCGCGGGATCTTGTCAATGCCGATCCTGGTCGTGGTCCATGTCGGCCGTCGCCGATTCGCGAGGACGATGCACGACGCAGGCCAGGATCGACGCTGACGCAGATCGACGCGGCGTTCCCGCGTTCGGTCTTGGTCATGGCCCCTGTTTTTGTCCCCCCCTCCGGCCAGCGCCCGCGCCCGACGGGCTCGAGAGGTACAGCGTGGCATGGCAGAGAATGGCACAGCGTGGCACAGCGGGGCCCCTCTCGATCCCCTCAATTCGATCCGATGTCGAGCTCACGCAGCTCGATCCAGTTCGAGTCCGATCGATACGCTCCGATGTTGAGCTCACGCGGCGCGATCCAGTTTGAATCTGCTCGATCCGCTTTAATGTGGAGTTCACGCAGCGCGAGCCAGTTCGATTTTGATGTCCCAGCAAACCAAGGCTGCCCGATGTTTTTACAGCGTTGTTCTACATCTTTGCGTGGCCGATCCGACGCATATTCTGGTTCGACCCGTTTTCCCGATTCGACGCTGGTTGATCTTTCCTAGTGGATTCACGAGTTGCTACAATGTGCATCCCCGCCTCTAAGTTAAACCTCCCTTATTGGAACCAAGCAGACCCAGCGCTCCCCGAGACAAAACGACATACCAGCCAAAAGTTAGCTAAACTTACAGCATACAAGCTTATGATATACATGCGGTGTGAAGTGCCGTCTTTCCTGGTGCAGTGGGAGGATTATAGAGGGGATTATCGTTGGGACTCCTTGACATGTGTTTGCAGGCTACAGAACGTATACAGACAATCTGCAGGAAAGCTACAGGAAGATTACAGAGCAAGTTGCATGCATACGCGCAGCAAGTAACAGACAAATCAAAGTCAGTAGGATCGTACGCCAAAGGCAACCTAACAGTATCCAGCTGAAGGCAAGCCGCAATTGGGGAGGTTGTCAAATTGACAGGCAGGCTGCGATTGGCATGATACGGGAAAGACGACACTGATATAGACGGAAGACAAGTGCAAGCGAAGCACAGACCCATTTCAGTACTATTGCGAGGTGAAGGCATGCCTGTGTGCCTTGCGACTGTTTGGATCGCATGGCAGCTGAGGATGTGCAGTGCGGAATTCATGTTCACCGAGAACACAAGAACTCCTAACCTTAAGAACACGATGAAGTCGTGGCCTCGCTGAGGTCCCCCTCGCCGCTGTTCTCTCTTGGGACGCGCTACCCGCCAGGGTTGCACCCGGTGTGCCTTGCGACTCTGTGGGTCGCACGGCAGCTCAGGATGTGCAGTGTGGAGTTCATTTGTTTGTACGAAGAAAAAGCGAAGAATAAAAAAACGCCATACACATAAGCTGTTGGCGCTCCGCGCGGATTTCTTGGATCCGCGCCTGTCCTCCGCGGCGGCGCCTCCAGCGCCGCCCCTGGCGCGCTCCGCGGGCCAGGGTGGGGGTCCGGCGCAGGTTCGAGAAATCCGCGAGGACCGTCGAAAGTTTATGTTTACGCCGTTTACTCTTCTTTTAAAAAATTGCCGACCTGGTTGGCCCCGTTGAAGGACAATATTTTGCAACAGACGTTTCGGAGCCACCTCGAATGACCCCCCCTGCGCCATCTCGAACGCAGTACTTGCCGATGTTCAGGCCGGGCGGGGGGAGGATGGGGGAATGTTCTCTTTTCTAGCTCGGGCGCTGCTGTGGCACAGTTTTTTCCGACGAGGCCCAGAAATATACACTACCTCCACCTCCCTCACCCCCCCCGCCCTCTCCCAGGAAAGAGGAGAGGAAGAGGAGGGTGGAGGAGGAGGAGGAGGAGGAGAAGGAGGAGAAGGAGGAGGAGGGGAGGAGGAGGGTGGAGGAGGAGGAGGAGGAGGAGGCGGAGGAGGAGGGGGAGGAGGAGAAGGAGGACGAGGAGGGTAGAGGAGGGAGGAGGAGTCGACGTGATGGTGGTGGTAGTGGTGGTGGTGGTGGTGGTGGTGGTGGTGGTGGTGGTGGTGGTGGTGGTGTGGTGGTGGTGGTGGTGTGGTGGTGGTGGTGGTGGTGGTGGGGCGGTGGCGGTGGCGTGGCGGTGGCGGTGGCGGCGGTGGTGGTGGTGGTGGTGATGGTGGTGGTGGTGGTGGTGGTGGTGGTGGTGGTGGTGGTGGTGGTGGTGGTGGTGGTGGTGGTGGTGGTGGTGGTGGTGGTGGTGGTGTCTCATATTCGTGGGGCCCACGTTTTCCCCTCCGCCGCCCCGGCGGCCGACGGAGCCCACGGCCCTCTCGGCCGCGAGGGCCGCCCTCCCGCAGCGAGCGCCCGCCGCTTTGCGGGGGCCCGGCCTCCCGCTGCGCGCGCGCTCGGCATGCGGCCCGGCCTGCGGCCGCATGTGGCGCGCCGAGCCGCCCCGGGCCGCGCGCGCCCCCGCGGCGCCGGGGGCCCCGTCTCGGCGACGACAAAGGGCAGGGTTGCGCCGGGGTGTGCTCTGCGATCGGCACCGTTTGTCTCAAGAGAGAGAGAGAGAAGTGCCGATGCCGATCCCCCTGCCTCGTTTTCGCCATTTGGGGCGTCCTGGGAGGCCCTCGTCGCCACCGCTGGATTCGCCTCGAAAATCTGGTCAGGACGTCCCACAGGAGAGGGCCGGGGAGTAGCGGTATGAATCCCTTTTGGCTTTCCCAGTCAGGGCTCAAGGGGCCAACACGTTGCGCCAAAGGTTTGATGAGCACTCGTCGGGGCTCGGCGGAGGTCTCCGTCGAGGTCCTCGCCCGCCCCCCAGGGTGCGAGTTGCAGGCCACACCCTCTGCAGACCACACCCCTCGGAGTCGCCGACCCGTCCGCGCGGAGGCGCGTCTGTGGGCGCCGTGAGCTCGGTACGCTGCTGGGCGCCTGCGCCTGGCGGCTGCGCTGCAGTGGCCGGGGGATGATCCTGCCGACGGCGTCGACGAGCAGCCCCCAGAGGCCGAGCCGACGCCGCCTCAGAGGGCCCCGGCCCGGCGATCGGAGAGCTCGGCCGGGCCCGCGGAGCCGTCGGTGCGATGGGGGCCAGGAGGAGGAGGAGGAGGAGGAGGAGGAGGAGGAGGAGGAGGAGGAGAGGGATGAGGAGGAGGAGGAGGAGGAGGAGGAGGAGGAGGCCAGCGGCGGCGGCGGCGGCGAGCAGGCAGAGTCGGGGCTGCAGCAATCGATTACACGTAAGATTGAACCTTCGTTGGAGCGACCGTTGGGTGCGAGCCCACTGGGGGCCCGCCCGATCGCCGAGCGCGGTGCAAATTGTAGCGTCTTTCGCGCTTGTGCTTGGTCCCCCCGCGGGCCCTCAGAACGCCGCGCACCGAAGGTCACCCTTACCCAGGGCTGCTCTTGCGTGTAGCCGAAGCAAAAGGCCCCTGGCCGTCGATCGTGCCACCGACTCGTTGTTGTCGACCGTGATCGGGGCAAGTTTCCACGCGACCTTTGTTAGGGCATCGCGCTGTCCCTCGGTTGGGTCTGAGCGAGTCCATTCTGGACGACTGATTCTACAGTGGCCGCTTCGTTCAATTTTCGATCTCAGCGCAAATGTGTCTACAGCTCCATTGAGGTGGAGTTGTTTTATAGACGCGGTCCAGCGGGCACGTTCGGTAGGGATCGGGATTGGCAGGAGAACGAGGATTGCCATGAAGTAAAGGTCAAGGAGTCCTGATCGGCGGGCGAGTCCAGGGGGGAAGTGAGAAGGGGCGTGCCTTCTCAGGAGGCTCGGAAGGCCTCGGGCCTTTGAGAAGCTTTCTGAGCCTTCCCCGACGACATAAAACATCTCTCAGAAGGCGCGAGGGCTTCCGAGAAGCCCCGCCGCCTTCTGACAAGGCCTGCTCCTCCTCACTTCCCCCTCTCCGGGCCAGGGGCCCCGACCACCTTCAAAAAAAAAAAAAAAAAAAAAAAAAAAACGGGCGCGCCGATGACCCGAGGGGAGCGGGTCCCAAGCCCTGGAGAGTTCCGTGCCAGCTCCTGGCAGCCCCAGCTGTCCGCGGAGGGCCTCGCGGGCCCCGAAGGCGGCGGGAAGGCTCCAGGACCCCCTCCGCTCGGCCACGCTCGGACGTGCGCGTTTGTTCTCGACCCGTCGAGAGCCAGCGAGGAGCAGCTTGGAGCATCCTGCGAAGACGAGAAAAAACCGCACGACACCGACAGGTGGCACGGGCAGCGGGCGTCCGAGCGACGGCAAGCTCGCGCAGGGCCTGCCTCCCTCGTGCCACGGGGAGGGCGGTCCTCCGAGGGTACTACCGCGACTTCCTCGAGCTGCTGCCCAGCATGGAGGGCAAGGCGGTGGTGGTGACCGGCGCATCGAGGGGCCTGGGGTTCGTGACGGCGCTGGCCGTGGCCGGGAAGGGGGCCTCCGTCTACATGCTGAGCCGCAAGTCGCAGAGGTCCGTCGACGCCGTGTCCGAGGCAGGGCGTCTCGGCGGAAAGGGCCTCGGCCCCCAGAGGTCTTCGAGGCCGGCCTCGTCTCGGGGAGGCCCAGAGGAGGAGGAGGAGGAGGAGGAGGAGGAGGAGGAGGAGGAGGAGGAGGAGGAGGAGGAGGAGGGGAGGAGGGGGGGGGAGGGGAGAGGGGGAGGGGAAGGGGAGGAGCAGAGGGTGAAGGGCCGAATCGTCCCGAGCGGCCGCTGGAGACGCAGCCGTCGTGGCCCGGGGGCCAGAGGAGGTGCGGGGGCTCGCCGCCCGCAGCCCGGACGCCGAGTTGGGGGCCGCCGTGGGTTCGGGGAGGGGGCTCGCGCTGTTCCTTGGGGTCCCTCTTTGGCTGCTCCTCCAGCGTTCCTCGTGCACGCAGGCGCTGCTGGCGCCCCAGAGGGGCTCCGTGCCCTGCTTGCTCGCTCCTGCCTTCCGCGACCCGACTGCAGGGCGTTCCAGGAAGGGCCTGGGCATGCAGCTCATCTCGCCCTGCTGGCGTAAGACCGGCGGAATGCGGCGGAAGCAGACGGAGGTCGTCAACATTATTGGGTTCGGAGCTGCCGGAGCCAGCCACGTGTCGGCCGTGCCCTTCTCTTGTCCGTTCCTTCCCTCTCTCCCTCCCTCCCTCCCTCCCTCCCTCCCTCCCTCTCTCCCTCCTCTCACGACATCTCGGCCCTGGCAACCATGGCGAAGTTCGGGCCTCGGGGAGAGGCATCTCGGCAGCATGCGGGCAGAGCGTCTGAGAGGTGAGTGGCATCCGTGCTTCAGAAACTGGCGGCGCGCGGAGGGGCGCAGGGAGAGGGGGAAAGCCTCTTAGAAGGAGGCTGCTTCTTAGAAGGCGCCGACCCTACATCTGCAGAGAAGGCCCGCGCCTTCTAAGAAGCAGGGGTGCTTCTATAAGAAGCATCTCGGCCCTGGCAACCAGGGCGAAGTTCGGGCCTCGGGGAGAGGTATCGCAGTTGCATGCGGGCGGAGCGTCCGGAAGGCGAGTGGCATCCGCGCTTCAGGGAGGCCGACACCTGGAGCCATGTGTCAGGAAGGGAACGCAAGTACAGACACAAACGAACGTCGATTCTTAGGAGCAGATCGGGGAATATGGAAAAGTGTGGGGGGAAGACGGATATCCAAAACATGTGGACAACTAGGGGAATCCGGGGATTCGTGCCCGTTTATTTGCGTGTGTGTGTGTGTCCCTGGGCCCCTTCAGTGTGCTCGACGTTCCCCAGGGGACCTGGCTCCTCCCCCTGCCCGCCTCCCCCCCCAACGTCCTGCTCCTCGCCCGCCTGCTCTGGAGGGGTGCCGGCTGCCGTCCAGGGCCAGTTGCCTCGCGGGGTGACCAGGCCAGGGGCCCTGCGACGCCACCTGTGGGCCGGGCGCTCGTGGGTCCTCTCCCTGCGGGTGTGTTCGCCCCGGTTTGTCCTCCGTCGGCGTGCTACCCAGCACGGGTCTCCTCGATTAAAATATTTTAATGTACACGTTTCCTCGGTTTCTCCCAAGCGCTCCTACCTCCCCCAGGTGGTCCTGCTCCACGCTTGCTGGCTTGCCCAAGTGTGCCGGGCACGAACACCTGTTCCCCGGGTCCGGGTAGCATCAGACTCTTCTGCAGGAGTTACGGTCTTCTATTAATGGGCTGTGCGATTCATCCTTGTTTGGGTGGTCTTCCCGCCTTGCTCTCTCTCCTCCTCCTCCTCCTCCTCCTCCTCCTCCTCCTCCTCCTCCTCCTCCTCCTCCTCCTCCTCCTCCCCTCTCCTCCTCCTCTCCCTCCCTCCTCCTCCTCCCCCTCCTCCTCCTCCTTCCTCCCTCCTCCTCTCTCCTCCTCCTCCTCCTCCTCCTCCTCCTCCTCCTCCTCCTCCTCCTCCTCCTCTCCTCCTCCTCCTCCTCCTCCTCCTCCCTCCTCCTCCTCCTCCTCCTCCTCCTCCTCTCCTCTCCTCCTCCTCCTCCTCCTCCTCCTCCTCCTCCTCTCCTCCTCCTCTCTCTCCGCCTCCTCCTCCTCCTCCTCCTCCTCCTCCTCCTCCTGTCCTCCTCCTCCTCCTCCTCCTCCTCCTCCTCCTCCTCCTCCTCCTCCTCCTCCTCCTCCTCCTCCTCCTCCTCCTCCTCCCTGTCACCCCTCCTATGGGACGGTCGGTTTTTGTCGCGTGGACTCGGCGGTGATCCCAGTTCGGGCGCTCAAGGCTGAGTGCCGCCTTTAGCCTTGGATCGGCCGACGTCGGCCGACCTGCGGTGACGGGAAGCCCTGGCCGCTCAGGGCTGGGCGGTCCAGGCCGTGGCAGCCGTGACCCAGCCGTGCCCCTCTCCTAGGTGTCGGCCGCGGCCACGGGCGCGGCACCGCGGTTCGTAGAGTGCGACCACCTCGACTTCTCCAGCGTGCGGGCCGCCGCCGACGAACTCAAGGCCGAGGCAGCGGCCGGCATCGACGTGCTGTGCTGCAACGCGGGCGTCATGCTCCAGCCCGACCTCCCGAGCAAGGACGGCTACGACGTCACGATCTCCACGAATGTGCTGTCCCACTTCCTCCTCGCCAGGGAGCTGATGCCGCTGCTCGAGAGGGCCGCGTCGCTGCGAGGGGAGGCGCGTCTCGTGTCGATGTCGAGCGCCAGCGCTGCCGGGCCTCCGTCGTTCGATGCGCGCTTCTTCGCGCAGTCTGGTGGCAGGCTGGGCGGGCCGCCGTGCAGCTACGAGAGGTACCATTCGAAGAAGAGAAAAGTGTACAAACATAAACGTTTGTGCATAAGCATGAAAGTGTGGCGCTCCGCGCGGATTTCTTGGATCCGCGCTGGGCACCCCCGGCAGCGCCTCCGGCGCCGCCACTGGCGCGCGGAGCGCGCCAAGGAGGGGGGCTCCAGCGCAGATCCAAGAAATCCGCGCGAAGCGCCAACAGTTTGTGTTTATGTCGTTTTGTGTTCTTCGGCATCAGAGCAAGCTGGCGAATCTGCTCTTCACCTGTGCTGCCGACCAGAGGCTGAGGCGCAGGGGCAGCCCCGTGAAGGCGCTGGCGTGCACGCCAGGCGTGTGCGCGACGGACATGTTCGTGCACGCCATGTCCATGATGCAGCCGGACAGGTCCACCGACTTGTCCGCAGTGGCTTCGGTGGAGGATGGATGCCTTGCACAGCTCAAGTGCATCTGCGACCCCACTGTGCAGTCGGGCGAGTTGTATGGCCCGCCCTGGGGAGGGGGGTTCCCAGTGAAGGTCGCTATGGTGCCTCCGAACTACCTTGTAGACGACGACGCGCAATTGCGGCTGTGGGAGTCTTGCGAGCGCGCAGTAGGATCGTTCGACCTATGACTGCTGGGCTCGATGGGCCTGCGATCAAACGAGCTCCGAGAGGACAGGCCGAGGACAGAGTGGTCCGAGAACAGCAACAGCCTCTGGTGTTGTAGGCTCCCCGAGAGAAGCGCGGTTGTCATGCGGGTCAGATTCAAACCTAGAGGTGGTAGTGGCTTCTGTCAGCGTCAATCGGAGAGAGCATGTGTCAGGCTCAGTCATATTCCTCTGGGGAGCAGACGGACGCCCCTGAGGAAGACTTTGCGCACGGGGGCCATGGGGCCCCGATCACCGTGGTGACGCACATCCTATCATTTTGCCAGAATGGCCTCGGGGCCATACCTCGAGCCACGTGAGGCCAACCAGGGCATCCCTGTCGCCAGTTCCTGTCCGTTGGCGCTGGCAAGAAGCGCCACCATCAGGACGCCAGAGATCAACACACAAACATAACGTGCAGACAGAAACAAATATGCATGATTTTGCGATTATTTCCGAACCTCCCACAAGCGGGGGCGGCGAAGAGGAGCGTGAGGATTAAGGGGGTTGGGCATACCATGGCCAGGGCCCTCAGATCTTCCAGATTCCACGGGCCACTCTTCTTTCGACACGTCCCCGTGACGCGTTGACGCCCCCTCTCTTCCTGGCCCTCCTCTTCTGCACGCCTGACAGGGGGGGGGGGGGGCAGGGGGGGGGGGGGGGGGCGGAGCGGGAGGGGGGGGGGACAGCGAGGGAGAAGGAGGAGGAGGAGGAGGTGGAGGAGGAGGAGGAGGAGGAGGAGGAAGAGGAGGAGGAGGAGGAGGCGGAGGGGGAGGAGGAGGAGGAGGAGGAGGAGGAGGAGAGGAGGAGGAGGAGGAGGAGGAGGGGGAGGAGGGGGAGGAAGGAGGAGGAGGAGGAGGAGGAGGGGGAGGAGGAGGAAAAGGAAGGGGCGGCGCGAGGGTGCGAGGGCAGGGAGGAGAACATCGCGGGACGCGCGAGGCGCGCGGGCCCTATGGCAGAGGCCGGAAGGGGTCCACGGAGTAGCGGTATCGGTCCTTGGAGCAGGTGTAGGGGGTAGCTTGGGGCATCAGGCGGCGCTTCGCCTCGCGCGGCCGCAGCCGCTTCCCGGGCGCGGGGATCGCGCTGAAGCCTGGAGTGCAGGGAGGCTCGCAGTTGCAGAGCCAAGGCGACGTGCGCTCGCAGGGCTCTTACACCCCAGCGCCTCTGGCCGTGCGCGGGCGCGGCCAGCCTGGTCGACGAGGCCGCCCGGGCTGGTGAGAGGATGGGCGCCTCCGTGGCCAGGGCAGCGGTGGCGCTGCCATCCACGAGCATATGGCGGGATCGACCGGGGCAGGCGCCGCCTCAAAGAGGTCTTCGCGCGCGCGGCCGAGTGCGCAGGTGGGCCACGCCGCTGGCACCGGCGTGGCGCTGACGCTGGCGTCAGGAGAGCCTGCTGCTGGAGCACACCGGCGGAGATCTGCTGGCAACCGCAGACGCGTCTGGCAGCAAGCCATGGGAGCTTGGCATGTCCTCCGAATTCCGCCTTTTTTGCGCCGAGTAGCGTCGATTAGCGCCTGGGAGTCGATAAGATAGCGCCGGTGTAGCGTCGGTCAGCGTCGATTGGCGTCGACTAGCGTTGATGCCGTGTCGATTCACGTCGATTCGCAAGAGCCGACAAGATGGTTTGTGAGGCTCCCATGAGTTGCCACCGAAGACGCCGGACACGTTCGGTCGGATGTTGGCATCGCCGCCCAGGGGGTGCGCGAGCTCACTGCGCGCCCCCGCGCCACGGGGCACGACGGCGCGAGGCAGGCGGCGCACGAGGTCGTGAGCAAGTGGATGCGTAAGATGTGCAGCGAAAGCGCAGCCCCGATGTCGAAGGCGACACCGCGGCGTCTGCGGTGCATCAGACCGCAGTGGAAGCCCATGCCAAGAAACACCCTGCTTGCCTCCAGGGTGCCCTTGGTCTCTTGGATTGCGATGGCTTTGCGATGGAAAGCGTGACGTTCCCGCACCAGAAATCAATGGACGTCCCAGCGGCGTTCCAGGGTTGGGTTTCTTGTAGAAGATGTCTTGTTTTCGAGCTCCTATTGCATGGGTGCCCAGTCGCTACAGCATCACCAGAGGCTCCCGAATTCTGACGTTCCT